TTGTACAAACCCCCGAATATATTCTGTAATAATGAAGACAGAAAAAGATTTTTTTTTAAATTTTGTTAACCTGTGTTATAACCTGTGTTATATTTTATTGAATAATTTACATTTTTATAGATTTTAGCTGCCATATTTATCAAATACCAAGTACATGGATTTTCCTCTAGGCTATTAATAATATTGGCTTTACTTATGAATTAGTCTTGTGCATTTATCGTAACCCTTTAGAGATACTTTTTCAGATATTTTAATAATTCACAGAGATAAAATTTTTATCCATTAGTTCAAGTATATCTAAATATTTTCTTTTATGTATACACAAGGGTTGATTTCATGCTGTCCTTTCTGAACTATTCCAACTTCAACTTGTCCACTGGATTCACCCTCTTCAGAGAGAAACCATATTGCTGCCCTGTAAGAAAATGCTTCTGATTTCAAAACCATGCTGCTTCCGAGTACCTGCAATACTTCCAACTCTCATGATGCAAAATCATCCCCAGTTTATGGGAAAAACTGATGAAAGTTGTCCATCTCCAAATCTATACCAGACTATCGCCTGGATTCCAAAGCAGTTTTCTGTTGCAGGAGTGTCGCACAGTCTTGTTTTAACATTTTATGTGGGTCTCTAATAAATGCTTTTTTGAAAATTAAAAAGGTTTATTTTATTTATATGAAAGAGCAACAGAGCATGGAGAGAGAAAGAGAAAGAAAGAGAAAGATTGAGAGAGAGATCTTTAGATCTTACATCTGCTCCTTTACTCCCCAGATGGCTGCAACAGCTAGAACTTGACCATGCTAAAGCCAGGAGCCAAGAACACTCTGTTGGTTTCCAAAGTGGGTGGCAGGTCTCAAGTTACTTGACCATTCATCTACTGCCTCCTAGGTTGCACTTTAGCGGGAGTATAAAAAGCAGAGGCAGGACTCTGATCCCAAGCAGACTTAATCACAAAACCCATCACAATGAACATTTTTAATCCCAAAATTCCATCAAGCTAGTTAAGAAATATGTATTGTTTCCTGCCTTTTCTCATCTATTCATTCAACTCAATTATAGTTCAAGTGCCTGATGGGTAAAAGATTTATGTTGATGTTCCAGTTCCCTCAGCACCTCAAGATCAGGCTCACAGCAAATTAAACTTTCATCTTTTAGTCAAGAAATAAAATTTACACACATTGACAAAGGAGAATACAAAATAAGATGTTGGAAATCTGAGAAGTTTAGGGAGGAAGTAATATAGGGCATATAAGAGTCATATCTGGACATTCATCTCCATCATAAAAAATGGCATATTATAATCAGTATATTCTTAGTGTTGAAAAAATAAAATATACATCATTAACAAGTAAAGCATGTATATATTAAATATTATGAACACACAGAACACATATGGTTATTATTGAAAGAAAACAAGAATAATTACATTTAACAAAGTTCACATGAGTAAGGAATTTCTAGACTACAGCAGCAATCCAGACTAGAGATGTTTCAGAATGTCCAACTCCAATATACGTAAAAATTACATTCATATTAGAAAGAAAGGAAGTGACATACATGGACAAGTTGATTTACTGCAGTTAGTATTTGCCTTATATTGTCTGAATGGCTGGATCTTCAGCTGTCAAGATTGGCATATGTTCAGTTGCTTGGTTACAAGGGTACTCTAAGTAAAGTCACAATTAGTTAACACATAAAATTATGATTAAGTTCACTATGTATAGAAGTTGCTTTGGGTCAAACTTATGATTCAAAGGTGTAGGCTAGTTTAGGTTGAATTTATTTTAGTTCAACTTTGGTTTGAATTATTCTGTTTAAGGGCATAAATAGTATGCATCTTTTCAAAAGAACTAATGCTATAAAAGCATCTAACAATATAAAATAAAGAACTGAATTCGAGAGTAAGTTTTTAAAATCATATTTCCTATAATAAACAAAACAAGAATTATGTAGCATCAAATTTGCTCTGATTATTGAATACAGAATAATGTAAGGTTGAAATATTTATGTTTGTAGAAAATTAGAACAATCCGTTGACAAACTCCTAAAATCAATAGGAAGTTTAGTGACATTACTTAAATCAAGGTGAATACTTAAAAAGCAACATAAATTTGCATAACAAAAATAATAGTCAAAATAAAATCAAAATCATGAACAAACTACATGCAAAACCTCCATTAAAACTACCAAACATCATTGAGATGTTAAACAATTACTAAATGAATGTCATAGGAAATCACAATATTTTAAAATGCCAAGTACCCCAAAGTGGATAAATAAATCATAATTACAAACAAGATAACAAAGAAAACAGAAGCTGATGGAGAAAACTGATGAATGATATAGTTTCAGGACTCCACGACCACATTTTGTAAGTCTAAGTTGAATATGGATACAAAATCTGAATGTGTGAAATAAAAATTAAAGCTTTAATTACCATGTTCTTTTTGCATATATATGTTTGGTTGAGGGCAGTTGGAATGAATGAATCATTGACTGTAGACCCAAAAGACTGAAATTTTATTATAAAAATTTGCAAGCTAACCAGCAATATCTAGTGTGTGATTTTGTTTTTTTCTGAAAGTGTCTTTCAAGTTTGGGAAAATAAAAAAAGTCAAGATTACATGGACCAGTAGAATATTTCTGTGTAAGAATTGCTCAACTTTTAGTTTTATCACAGTATTGGCAAATAATGTAAGCTCTTTGAATACGATTTCTTGGTGTGTTTTTTTTTTTTAACATTTATTTATTTCATTTGAGAGGTAGAGTTACAGACAGAGTGAAAGACAGAGAGAAAGGTCTTCCACCCACTGGTTCAATCCCCAGATGGCTGCAATGGCTGGAGCTGGGCCAATCTGAAGCCAGGAGCTTCCTCCAGGTCTCCCACATGGGTACAGGAGCCCAAGCACTTAGGCCACCTTCTACTGCTTTCCCAGGCCATAGCAGAGAGCTGGGTTGGAAAAGAAGCGGCCGGAACAGGAACCAGGGCTCATATAGGATGCCAGTGCCACAGGCAGAGGCTTAGCCCACTATACCACAGTGCTGGCTTCAAGTATAATTTCTTTATCAATAGGTATGTATGCTTAATTTATCTCTATTCTGTACATATATATATTCCTGCAAATAAATCATGTCACAAAAGATGAAGTTATACATGAAAAATAAATTCATACTTAGGTTCCTTTAATCAAATGTTATACTTAGTATGCATTTTTAAAACGATTATAATTGAGGTGCTGGCGCCATGGCTCACTTGGCTAATCCTCCACCTGTGGTGCCGACATCCCATATGGGCACCAGGTTCTAGTCTTGGTTGCTCCTCTGCCAGTCCAGCTCTCTGCTGTGGCCCAGGAAGGCAGTAGAGGATGGTCCAAGTGCTTGGGTGCCTGCACCCTCATGGGAGACCAGGAGGAAGCACCTGGCTTCTTGCTTCGGATGGGTGCAGTGTCCGCCATAGCAGCCATTTGGGGTGGTAAACCAACGGAGGGAAGACATTTCTCTCTTTCTCTCTCTCTCACTGTCTAACTCTATCTGTCAAATAATTTTTTAGAAAAAATGATTATAATTGAAAGACAAAATAGTATAGGTCAGAGACCATGACAATAGCTAAAATGGATTGAGTTCATTATATAAAATAGTAGTTTGTTTTAATAACTCTCTAAAGTAGATACCATTATCCTTACACCCCCTTTATATAAGCACAGAAAAGTTAAGTACCCTTACCATAGACATACATCTATTGGAATGAAAAGTACACATTCTAATCCAGGCAAATGTACTTTTATGTCTAGCTTTTTTTAAAAAAAATATTTTAAAATGGAGATATAATTTAAATAAATTAAAATGCATAAATCTTGCTTTACGTTTTTTATTTTGGACAGACAGAGCTCACATGTGATTAACTCCTCAAATGCCTGCAATGGCCAGATCTGGGCCAGGTTGAAGGTGGGAGCCAGAAACTCAATTCAGGTCTCCCAACTGATGGCAGGGATCCAATTATATATGGTATCACCTGCTGCTTCTGAAGATGCACAAATCTTCAGTGTTCAATTTAATGAGTTTTGACAGTTAATACACTAGTGTAATCATTGCTATAATCTTATTAGAGAACATCTCTAATATATCAGAAAGTGCCCTGTTACCACTTCCCACAGTCCCTCTCTATTCCCAAGGAGCTAATACTGTTCCTATTTATTTCCGCCCTTCATTGATCTTCATATTAGTGGTAGTATTATGCATTTTGTCCTGTTTTCTTTGACTCAGTATGAAGTTTTTAAGTTTTATCCATATTGTTGCCTAGTCACTTGTCTGGTTTTTTTAATGTGAGCTAAAATTTCATTGTATAATATAACACAGATTCTTTATTCATTCCTGCATTGATTGGACAAGTGGGTGGTTTCCTTTCCAGCTGGAGGAGGAACAATTATAAATAAAGCCGCCTTGAACATTCCTGTCCAGATCTTCATGTCGTCCTAAGATTTCCTTTCTCTAAGGTAAATAACTTGACCTAGAATTGCTAAATCAGAAGGTAAGTGTCAATGTTTCAAGAAATTGCCAAACACTTCTACTAAATGATTGTATCACTTTATATTCCCATCAGCATCCCATAAATTTTGATTGCTCCACAGTCTAACTCTTAAGCATGGGTTCTTCAGTCTTTTACATGTTCTCATATACTGAGAAAAATCCTGATTTCACTGGATATATTTAAAACCACAATCAAATTCACCAAGTAGCAGTCAGGTTATAAGAGATGGTAAAATTTCAGTAGAATACTGACAGTATTAAAACCCTCTCTAGTGGAAAGAAAAACAAAATGGCTGTTACACAGGAGGAGTGCCTGAAGTTCAAATCAAACTTTTCTCTTTTAAATCAAAATGGAAATTCCTTTCATAGTATGATTCAATTCTCAAGAGGATAACTTAATTGAATGAAGCCCAGATCATTTTAATTTGACCCCAAAAGTTAGCTTTATTTTCTTTTTTTAGGTGTTTGTCCTCAGGGCTCCTGTCAAAAATCCTGACTGTGAGACGGCTAAGAGAATACGATGGAAAAGACAGGTATCACAGGTGAAGAGCATAATTCTAGGAGCTAAATCCTCCAGGGCTCAATTATCAGCTGTAAAATTGAGTAAGTCAAATTCATTTCTGACTTCAGATACTCTATATTGAATTTATTTTGCTGTCATACATAAATATTCAAAAAACAAATGTTTTATCTACAACTTGAGTTAGGTTTCTACTGAAGATCATGTATTATATATTGTTATTCATTCCTTGTAATTAATGAAGATAATTACTGTAAATCATTGAATGATCAAAATTATTGTGAAAGTGTATACTTTTAAAAATAGTTCAAAAACATCTGAACCAGATGTAACTTTCAAGGAAAGAGAAAAAAAAAGAAAATATATTTAGATACATTTAAAACATTTTTTTAAATCAAATTTATTTTTTTCTCTCTGATTCACAATTGTGATTTATCACAACTTCCCCCCCAAAATTTAAAACTAGTGTAATCACTTTGTGAAGAACAATCCTTTAAAAACCCGTTTTGGTAGCTTATAAATGGATAGTTTTGCCACTACTTAAAGGTATGATGTGAATCTTCTTTTCTCTATGAATATTACACCAAGATACTCTTGATTCTGACTCTGTTAAAAAAAAAAAAGGAAAATTACACCAAGCAAAATAAGTTATTTTCTAAAATGAGAATACAGAAGAATCCCAAGGGAAACATTACTTTATATGACAAAAGAGGAAAAAATTCAGTGTTTAATGTGATATATATTACAGAAATTCATGAAAACAACAACTATGGGGGAAACACAGAAGGCACTGAAACTCAAATAGAAACAAAAATGATAGACTATAAATTAAGAATAAGATCATATTAAATATGTGACAGTATTTACACCTGAAATAACTGTTGAAACCTTGAAAGAATGTAATGCACGTTCAATTTAAAAAGAGAATATCAACCAACATATAATTACAAAGTTTACCATTTACAAAATTACCATTCATTTGAAGTCAATATTAAGTAATTTTTTAAAAATTTATTTATTTGAAAGCAAAGGGTGGTGGGGAAGAAAGAGATAGAAAAGGGGGAGAGAGAGAGAGAGAGAGAGAGATGTCTTCCATCCTTGCATCAGCTGGTTTACTCCAAAAACAGCCACAATCATCAGGTCTGGGGCAGCTCAAAGCCAGGAACCTGAAATTCCATGTCTACCACATGGGTGGCAGAGATCCAAGTACTGGGTCCTCTTCTGGTGTTTTTCCAGTCCCATTTGCAGTGATTGGGATCAACTAGAAGCAGAGCAGCCAGAATCAGTACTCTGCTTTGGGATGCCCACTTTGCAAGTGGTAGCTTCAACAGTGGCACCAAATCTTTCCCAGAAATATTTATATGAATTTATAACAGTAGAGTATGGGAGTTATTTAGCAGCAGTGGTGTTGCATTATTATTTACCTTGATAAGTCAGCATTTACCAGGTGGGCTAATGCCTTTTTCTCTCCCAATACCCACTGAAACTTTCTCATCATAATAAAGACTGCTTCCCCACACAAGAAAAAAAAAAAAAAAGATTCATTAAACAACCATGTGTGGTGATGATCAAGTAAGATCATTTAAGTGTTATAAATACAAATTCTAAGGCTATGGAAGCCCTCTGAGTTCTCTGATTCTTATCTTGTTTAGACAAGGTCATAGTCAAAGTGGAGGTTCTCTCCTCCCTTCAGAGAAAGGTACCTCCTTCTTTGATGGCCTGTTCTTTCCACTGGGATCTCACTCGCAGAGATCTTTTGCCAGAGTGTCTTGGCTTTCCATGCCTGAAATACTCTCATGAGCTTTTCAGCCAGCTCCGAATGCCTTTAGGGCTGATTCTGAGGCCAGAGTGCTATTTAGGACATCTGCCATTCTATGAGTCTGCTGAGATTCTCACTTCCCATGTTGGATCACTCTCCCCTTTATTTACTCCATCAGTTAGCGTTAGCAGGTACTAGACTTGTCTATGTGCTCCCTTTGACTCCCAGTCCCTTCACCATGACCAACTGTGAACTGAAACTGATCACCTGGAACAGTGAGATGGCATTGGTACATGCCACCTCGATGGGATTGAATTGGAATCCCCTGGTATGCTTCCAACTCCACCACTTGGGGCAAGTCAGCCTGAGCATGTCCCAAATTATACATCTCTTCCCTCTCCCATTCCCACCACCATGTTCAACAGGGATCACATTTCAGTTAATTTTCAACACTTAAGAATAACTGTGCATCAATTACAGATCTAAACCAGTCATATTAAGTAGAACAGATAAAAAAAACTACTAAGAGGGATAATGTATTAAGTTGTTCATTAACAGTCAGGGCTATGCTGACTCATGACTGGAGCATAGGGAGATTACTGATGCCATAGACAGGAGTGTCAATTGGTAAAGTCAACAACAGGAGTCACTGTGCACTTACTCCTCATGTAGGATCTCTATCCTTAATGTGCTGTACATTGAGATTTAATGCTATAACGAGTACTCAAACAATATATTTCACTTTGTGTTTCTATGGGGGTGCAAACTGTTGAAATCCTTACTTAATGCATACTAAACTGATCCTCTGTAAAAAAAGAAAAAAAAAGAAATTATCAATTCCCACTTGACCTCCCACTGGGATAAACATGACAATAGGTCTGCTCTGATTTCATCATCATTTTAAAATCATCTATTATTTTTCACTTTATGTTTCTGTGTGGGAGCAAACTGTTGAAATCCATACTTAATGTATACTAAGCTGATCTTCTGTATATTAAGATAATCGAAAATGAATCTTGATGTGAATGGAAGGGGAGAGGGAGTGGGAAAGGGGAAGGTTGTGGGTGGGAGGGACGGTACGGGGGGAAAGCCATTGTAATCCATAAGTCGTACTTTGGAAATTTATATGCATTAAATAAAAGTTTAAAAAAAAAAAAAAAAAGAAAAAAGAAAAATAGAGCAAACCTAAAAAAAAAAAAAAAAATTCTTTATGCTGGGGGTGGAAGCCTTTGTAATCCATAAGTCGTACTTTGGAAATTTATATTCATTAAATAAAAGTTAAAAAAAATTCAAAAAAAATAAATAAATAAATAAATACAAATTCTAGAATATTAATCTTCAAAACAGCAACTCGGAGAACTACCAAACCTTAGTGGAACAATAGCCACATCAAGATATTTTACTGAGGAGAGTTTCCAAGATGGCAGAATAGTGACAAGGCAGTCTGATTTGTGCGGGGTGAAATCAATATTGAAAAAAGTGGAGAAAGCAGACTCTCAGGGTGAAGCTGCGAGGGAAACTGTGGTGGAGATCTGCAAAGGCAGGAGAAACGGTCTGAAACTGTGCAGAAAGTCCAGACATGCAGCAAGGTACACCGACACAATAGAAGACTCAGCAGCTTGGATCCAGGAAAGAAGGCTCCCTCCCTGGCAAACCATGTGAGATCGGGCTCCATGGGCTCTTGATATAGCAGGAGGCAGAGTTTAGAGAACTCCATCTTTTTGCGTCTGGGCAGGATTCTTCAGGACTGTGGGGTGACTACTCATGGTGGGGGAAGTGGGGAAGCAATGTGTGTCTCTCTCTCCCCTCATCCTTCCTAAAACAGTGACCTGCAACCAGTGGTGGAAGGGCTGGCCCCATTTTTGGACATAGGCACAAAGTGGCTGCCCCAGCTTGTGTGCTCGTCCCAGCAATGGTTGGGGTTGCCCTCCACCCAGTTGGCAGGGTCACCCACAGCAGTACAAGAGCAACTGATAGAGATGGTTTCTACTGTGAGAGCTGTAGCCACCTGGTAACAGCAATGGGAGGGGAAAGGGAGCCATCCCTATGGAAGGGAAGTGCTTGCCTACGGGATTCTCCTATTTGCCGACCACAATTATAAAGTGAGCAGGGCTGGAGACAGCAGGTGTTGTTGGTGCCTGAGACACTCCCAGGGCCACTATCCGCATCAATTTCTGTCCTCCTAACCAGATTTGATGCCAGCAGAGTACACAGATTTTTCTCTGTGGTAATATCTCTGGATCATAGGCACCAAGCTGAATATAGACCTACCACGTGATCCAGCCATGCCACCCCTGGGAATTTATCCAAAGGAAATGAAATAAGCATATGAAAGAGTTATCTGTACCACCATGTTCATTTCAGCTCAATTTACAATATCTAAGATATGAAATCAATACTATATGCCCATGAACTGAAGACCAGATAAAAAAAATGGAATACTACACAGTGGTTAAAAAAATGAAATCCTGTCAGTTGCAACAAAATGAATGCAACTGGAAACCATTATACTTAGTGAAATAAACCAGTTACAAAAAGACAAATACCATATGGCCTCCCTGATCTGTGGTAGTTAATTAAATATTTAAAATGTAATCTATAGGAATGAAACTGACACTTTGAGATGTGAGAATAAAGGCTTTTGCCATTACTGTCAGGGAACAATGTTTTTCTTGTTTGGTTGTTTTTGTTCTTTACTTTCTTCATGCTAATCTCTGAACTCTACTTAGTGTAGGGTTAATCTTATGAGTATAAAAATTACCTGAAAATTGATATCTGTAAAAAAAGAATGGGAAAGGAAGAGGGAAGAGGAAGAAAGGCAGATCTGGGTGGGAGGGAGGTGAGGGGGGAAGAAGCATCATGTTCCCAGATCTGTATATATTAAATGCATTAATTTGTATTCCATAATCAAAATAAATAAAAAATAAAAAAGATATTTTATTGAGATAATTTACTGAGAGCAATAAAAACAGACTGTTGGAACTGGTAGTAGCATCTAAGAATCAGCCCTGTGATATCTAAGAAGATGAAGTAATAAAATATTTGTCTATACTAATATTTCTTAACCGTATGACAGGAATTCTGTAAATTCATTCAACAACACACATCATTTAAGTTAAAACATTTGCTTATTCACATAAGAAAGAATTCTCTGAATAAAAACAGAGTTCCTATACATAGGTTGCAAGATTATATTCTTAGTCCTTTAATTAAAAAAAAAAAAGCAAACACTATGAATGCACTGTTTTTGAGTA